TTTCATCAAACCATGTAATCAATATTCTATCCATTTCCCATTAGTGCATTACATTACATTAAAATGCCTCTTAAGCTGTGTGGACAGCATATCAATTATAATTAAGTTACCCTTAGTCTTGTTCTTTTCCCATACCTTACCCATTCTAAATTCCTTCACTAGAAACAATAATGTTAGACTAGGTTAATGTAACTACATAAGAGAAAAAAATGGTTTTTAATATTGTATAAAAAAACATATATATACACACACACACACACACATATATATATATATAGCATTTAAAACAATTTTAGTATATGTTTTGAATAATTTAAATATGTATTGTTTTTCTATGGATGCAAGTTTCTTCTAAAGCTATTAAAAATATTGTTTGGTACAAAATTCTCTTCCTTGAGATTTTTTTTAGTTTAAAATTATTATGACTAATTGAGTAAAATGACTTATGAATTAGGTTGTACAATAATTGTGAATGTACCTAAGATATATTGTCACTCTATTAAGTAGTTTTGAAAAATATCTCTTTATATTTAACCATTTTTGGGAAAAAAATTGCCAAACACTAGCAATCTTGACTAAACTTTTAATTAGTGATTCCAAACTTAGACATTTTGACAAAAGTGATTAATGTATTGAATGGTTCGTGTGCCGGTTTTAGTTCAATCTTCAATTAATTTTATTTTATTTTTGTTTATGATCGGTTCATTTTACAAAGTTTAAAATGTGGATTATATATGTTTATGAAAAAAATTAGTGAGTTTAAGAGCACCTATTTCCCCTGAAAAAATGTTTAATATTATAGTAAGGTTATTTGCTATATGGCAGTGGTTAAAATATAGGTTATTTTTATATATTTAAACAAGAACTCTGTATTCCTCACCTACATAATCCATTTCTAAAATCTATCCAAAGTCAAAGAAGAGACACAGTAATTGAATCTAGGGTTTAGACTTGCATGGTTTTGAGCTTTACAGCTCAATATCTGGTGCAATCCTCTTCTAGAAAATTAAATATTATTTTGTTCAGAGATTGTGGGAAAGTTATAAATTGTATATAAATAATTAACGGACAAACCTTTCATAAATAAAATAAATTTATTTACGAATTAATTTATAGAAACTCTCATAAATTTTTAAAATCTCATGAAAAATTATTAATTATTTTTCATTTTACCTCTTTTAAGAATATTAATGTAAAAATTGAGGGTAATATAAATTATTAACAGCATAATTTGTTCTCCCCAAATCATCATGGATTAATTAATTTAATTGTATAAAGAAAACATGAAATGAAAAACATAAAGACATGACGGTGGATAAGAAACCAAAACCATTGATGCCTCACACAATCTATGGTTACTTGGTGCCGGTTGTTGGGATATGCAGAAATCAGAAATGATGTAAAGTGAATAATCGGCTATGATATATTAATATCTCATGTTAATTTATATATGGTTGAGGTTTTGTGTGAATATAAAAAAATTACAAAATATTAATAAGATAAATAGGAGACACGCGTCAATAGTACTGTCTTAGGTACATTAATTAATATATGTTGTGTTGTGCCTAAAATTTGTGTTACGAATGGGAGAGTAAATGGAATTTTAATTATATTATTATTGTGGCGGCAGGAGAGAACTTTGTTGTGATATATATCACTGAGGAATGGTCTAAGATTCAAATTTTAAGTGGACTTCCATGGGAGGCCAATGAATCAGGGTCCTGTCTCACTTTTTATATTTTATTTTATTTTTATATATATCCTGGTCCAAGTTAAAAAGAAAAAAATATCATATTAAATGTATTTACACTCACTCTTTTGAGTTTATGAAAATACTTTTTTATTAAAGAATGATAGATAAAATAATGAAATAGATAAAAAGGAAAAATAATTGTTTGAATATTTTAAAAAGAAGAAAACAGTAAAAATTTGTAAGTGATTGTATTTTCGAGACAACATACAATATAGATTATGGTTTATGTGGTCTCACTTTGATTTTAAAAATTAGATATAAAAAGTTATGATTTCTTGACATTTATAAAAAGGATATAAACATAATAAATTACGTCTGAGAATATTAGTACATAGTTTGTCTTTCGGTATGGAGATTTATTGAGGGATCAGTATTGGAGATTTATTCAGGGATGAGAATGTTGGTTCTTTCAAGAAAAGTTATTAGAGATATTTATTATTAATGATTCAAATTTATATTCTAGATTTGATGTTATTTTCAACTTAAAATTAATAAATTTATAAGTTTGATATTTGATTACTAAATTTAAAGTTTACATCCATATTTAAATTTTTTTAACAACAAAAATATTATTGTCTGTTATTGCTGACGAATTATTAATTTTAAGAGTATTTAAGTGAAGAAAATATGAAAAATGTAAGAAAGTTCATTTTTATTAAAATATTTTAGAAAATTTATGATGTTATTTTTATTATAATTATTTATTTATTAGACTTTAGTTTTATATTTTTTATTTTTATTTTTAAAATTTATTTTAATAGAATTTTAAAATTGTTTAAAGGTTAAAACATAGGATAAAAGTAAACCAAACTAGAACAGGTCAAAAGTTAAGTAAGTTAGCATGTATTAAATGTCAATTGAAAATACCATAGGTTGAAACTTGAATAAGATCGGATTTTATTAAAAGTCAACTCAAGTTAATCAACAAAAATTGAGTTGAACTGATCCAAGTTAAACTGTCTAAGTCAAAGGTTAAGTCGAGGCAGTTATAACCAAAAATTGAGGTGAGTTAACCTAGGTTTAGTAGTTTAGGTTGAAGTTTATGTCAAACTAGTTACAATTGAAGGTTGATACGAGTTGGTTTGAGTTAAAAAAATGACCCAAAGTTGGTTAAGTCGAGACTTTAGGAGACTTTTTTGAAGTTAGAATTTTAAAACTTTTTATTTGATGTATCAATAAAATAGAATTTTATTTAAAAGTGAGTCATCATAAACCATAGCCAAATTGACATCTTTCTATTGTAAGAATCGTTTAATTTGCTCGAGGCATGAAAAGACCCTAAAAGACGGTTGCTTAGATTCTGTGAACGAGGATTAGATTGGGCTGAATCATGGACAAGTGTTATGGTAGTTGCTCCACATGTTTTGGTGTTGTATCTCCAGCTTCAGACATGTGCCTCTCTCTAACAAGGGCCCTAGAGTTCATTGCAAATAAATGTCCTGACTGTGCCCCATTGGGTTGATGTGGGCCGTAACACTTGGCCCACTTATGTTCGGTTGTCAGTAGCAGCCCAAGCAGGCAATTGCATAGTATCCTTTCAAATGTTTGAGATTGGGCTGTGCTCAAAATCATGGTTTTGGGGTGGTTGTTGTGAAGTCTTGTTGCATTGCCACTGTGTCCTCTTTATGTTGTGTTTCGTGGGTGGTTGAAGAGATAAACACTTGCAAGTCATACTGTTGATGGAATCAATTTTTGTGTTGCTTGTGGTTTCGGTTTTCAGTTCTACTATTTCTCCTACCTACACTGTCTTCCAAACTATTTACAAACAAACTTGTCTTTCATTATTAGTATAACTAAATGCTAATATTTTTCATTCAAGAATATTTTTTCTGGAATTGAAAACATAACTCTTTACATATAGCTAATTCAGGAAGCAATAGGTTTATAAATATCTAAAATCTCATAATTTAATCACGTTAGTGCTTTAAATGAATGGTAATGATGGTATCATAAAGATGCTTCCTGGTATCACATATATATTCTTGCCATATATGTGTGAATATTTTCCATTTAATAAAAGAATTTTTTTTTTATTTTAGTGGGAGGAAGACTTCCTTAAAAAAGACCTTAAATCAATCATAAATTGCCAACGTTAAAGCACATTAAAATAAGAGACAAACAATTATCTTATATTATAATAAATGAATTTGGATAGAAATAAAATTCAAAATCAAATCACATCAAATTAGGATGAAGATTTTATCTAATTACAAAGATTAGTTACACATAATGGAAATAGAGGAAAATAACTTTATTTATGGAAGTTTCCTTAATTTTTTTATCGATAGGCCATTTCATAAGATGTTTATTAACAACACTCCGTTGGTGAAAGGGTTGATTAAATTAGACTAAGACCATGCCTCCTCATTATACATTTTTATTTACAAACATTATAAGTTTTAATTTATTATTATTATTAAGCTTAGTCTTTTATTTTTCTCATACTTTCATATCTTAATAAATGCAATTTAATTCGTTATTTTTGTATGATTATTCTATAAGGACTTCCTTGCATTTATTGTTTCATTATAAGTTAACTAAATAATAACGACTTTCACAAGGATTATTACATTATTTGAAAGAAAAAGATTAGATTGGACACAAAAAATTTTAGCATATATAACTGGCATATATTAGAAAGTCACAACAATTTTAGGGTAGTGATCTTACTAATTCAAACCAGTCTTGTCTCTATTTAGAATCACATTCTATGTTTAATAGAATTTATACACGCTTCACGAAAATAAAAATATTGAGAAAGACATGTTAATGAATATTTTAAGGTCACTAATTACAGAATTAATAAATATATGTTTTCATTACAGATACAATGAAGCTGAATAAAAAATCACAGTAGCAGTACTAGATTCTTTCATTAATCAAAATCTTTAAAATTTAAATTTTAAAGCAGTACTCTAAAAGTATTAACACTAAATATTTGGATGTCGTAACAAATCATAATCACAAATATTTGATATCATACTTTGTGCCTACTTCCACTCCCGTGGACACTATTTGCTGTTGCAGCATTGCTTATAACAATACAACTAATGCTTCCACAAATGTGATCACAAATTTTACAAATACTACAAAAATCTTGATGTTGACTATCCATGGCAAATTCAAGGTACAGGAAACAGAAATTTTACTTTGGAAAGAACATTTAACAGACTGATATTTAGCAGGAAAAGAAACAAAACAATGGACACGCTAGAAACAAGTCATCAATAATAATGGCAACTTATCTTACACTTAACCGAAGGAACAATTTTCAAAACATGTTAATTTTACAACAGCTAATCTCCAGGTACTAGTATCAAAATTCATTCATACTAACCTAATCATCCACTACTACGAAGGATAAGATTTTCTAGCAGGACACAAGTAAGAGTTTACAAAACTTACATCAAGAAAATGAAAGATGGGGTGAACTGGTCCGGATTCACCCTACACTACCTCATGTTTAACACTTAAGGATAAGGATAGGCCTTCCATGTCATCATCCTTAGCTTTGTCTCCCTCCGAGCTATTTGGAAATATCATACATTCAGAACTCTCTGATATCACCAATGCAGAACCACATTGACTACCAGCTGGTGAATTTCTTGATGATTCCTCAGATAAAGCTGAAACTTCAAGGTTGGGAAAGTTAAGACGTGCAACAGAACCATACATTGCCTTAGCTGCTTCATCATAAGCCAGAGCAGCACTAATGGCAGTGGAAAAAGTACCCAACCAGAGCCTACTCCCTCTGTTTGGCTCCCGGATTTCAGCAACCCATTTTCCCCAAGTTCTTTGCCTAACTCCTCTGTAGTTACAGAGTGTGTTCTCAGGCCCTCCTTTACCTTTCATACACCCTTTCTTTGATCCTTTGGCAGGAACTTTTCTAACTGCTTTCTCAGCCTCATTGCTAGATTCAAGCCAAGCATTGTACTCTTTCCATCTCGCCAGTGTATAGGCCAGAGACTTGGATCCATCCCCTCTATTGTGGTCTTTCACTAACATCAGTATGCAAAGTTGCAATCCTCACCAGTAGAAATGCGAAAACAACACTTGAATCACACCCCTTGCATAATTAGAAACAAGACCAAAGGTTTATACATGTAATATACTATATTCATCTTAAAAGAGAACAACAGATAAACATGTTTAATTTTCATGCGTTATCAGTGTAAGGATTTTTACCCGTCTGTCAATCATAATCCCTCCTAGTTATGATTTTTTTAAATGGTAAGCACAAAAGTTAACAAATTGACCATACATGTTGAATTATTTGTGAATAACTTGCAGATGAATAGCACTACAAAAACCCTCTGCACTGACACCACATCATAATTAGATTCTAAATAGATAACTTGTTATTCTTGATATAGTGATTAACAAGGAATGCATATTTAAAACGCAAGCACAAACATTTCAAAGTCCTTTCCATATCAGTGATTAATCACCTCTTACATGTTTCACCCATACAATTGGCAATTATTAATTCTAGGTTCATCAGTCCTAAAATTTAAAGAAACATGACATTCACTGATAAAAAAGAAACCACGCATGTAATGCAAAGTTAGTGAATGCATGAAACAAGTGACATTGACTTACCCAGAAAACAAAAACTAACCTCTTTTATGAAAGATTGACCTCAGTGGTAACCAAAATCTTCCTAACCGGAATCAAAATAAGAGTCACCCTGATGACATTTGTGGGAGCAAATTCTGATTACGCGTTAAATTTAGAAACTTTAATATGACCAGTTGGTGTATGAAGAGGAAACAATTACAACAAGCGTCAATCATGGCATGATTCAATTGGGGCAAATCAAAGTAGGGTTCAGCTGTCGCCGACTTTGCTAAGATTCTACAGACGATGCAAACAAACATCAGAAACCTCTGTACAGCATCAACTATGTTTATATGAACAATTTCATTTTGATACAATTCAATTCCTAATATTCTTACACTACATTTTTTTTTTGCCTTTCTTTTTCTACAATTATATAACATTTACCATTTTTACATTTTTTTTATATTTTCTTTTGAGTGAAATAACATATAACACATCAATCTATTTTTTATATTGTTAAGAAAATATACACACTATTGATGACTTTAAAATATTTTTCATAAAATTCAGTAAAGGTATAGTATATGATTATTTTTATAATTAAGTAATAAGATTAAAAAAAACAAAACTTATAATAAAAAATATTAAAAGGAAAAATTAACCTTGTGTGTTCAAAATTCTTAAAATAATTCTCACATAAAAGTTTATTCAAATCTTAACTTTTGGCTGGACCATGTACTTCAAGAATTTCATTATCAACTATAAAAGCTTATATTCAGGTTTAATGTCTTAATAGGTCTCTATTTTTGTTTAAAATCTCAACTAAGACTCTTTTTTTTTTGCATCTCAATTGGGTCCTTATTTTTGTAAAATTGAATCAAATAGGACCTTTCCGTCAAATTGATCAGCGTTAAATAGGATATGTTGAGTGTGTAGTTTTTTGTTACGTGGCATTAAAAAGTGACTGAACTTTTTTTTTAATTTTAAATTAAAAAATAGAGTTTAAAGTGAGGGCAAAGTTGGGAAAGCCCCATTTAGGAATTTAGGTCTTTTTATTTATAATTGAAAAAAAGAAATTGATTAGGGATACAAACTTTTTTAAAGTAGAATTAATTAAATTCAATTACAGAAAGTCTCACTCTCTCTCCTACGACGAGAAATCTAACCCAAAACAATCCAGAAATGTTGTACCCATACGCAGAAACAATACGCAAATCACCAATTCAATTCGAATAAAAAATCAATTACACCAGAAATCCCTAATTTCCCAATTTCAGCAAACCCTAATCCCCAAAATCAGAAAACAACAGGAACCCTAAACTCAAACTCGATATTGCCGCTGCTTTCGCTAAATCATGGCGTCACTGCCCTTATGCCGCAAACCGCCAAGATCTCTTTCCTCCTGTAAGACGAAACAGAAACGGAAAGGAGGAGGAAGCCTCCCTTTTGCGCTGCGATCCAAAACGGAGAGGAGAAAGTAAACCTCCGCCATGCCCTGTTGAAGCTGACCCTTCTCTCCCTACGAGGAAGCGCTAAAGGATAGAGGAAAGAAGGGTTCTATTTGAATCGCGCCATCACTGCACCGTCGGGGACGCCCTCGTCGTGCACTTGCCGCCATCGCAGCGTCATAGATGATTCTCCAGGTCGGTTGCCTGCGAGATTGGGGAAGGTTTGCCCCTTGCGCGACCCACTGTGTTTCTTGGTTCAAAGCTGAACCCAAAGTCTAGACCCTTGTTTAGGATCTCTGTAAAGTGACCCTCCATTAACAAAAAAACAAGGAAATTTTAATTTTATTTAAACTTACCAAATCTGATGCAGAAACTAATTAGGAATAGAAATTAGCATTAAATAAAAAAATCATTTCATTAATTAATCTTAATTCTACTTTAAAAAAGTTTGTATCCCTAATCAATTTCTTTTTTTCAATTATAAAGACCTAAATTCCTAAATGGGGCTTTTCCAACTTTGCTCTCACTTTAAACTCTATTCTTTAATTCAAAAATAAAAAAAAAGTTCAGTCACCACCTAACAAAAAACTACACAGTCAACATGTCCCATTTAACGCCTCTAATTAATTTGACGGAAAGGTTCTATTTCATTCANAGGAACAATTTTCAAAACATGTTAATTTTACAACAGCTAATCTCCAGGTACTAGTATCAAAATTCATTCATACTAACCTAATCATCCACTACTACGAAGGATAAGATTTTCTAGCAGGACACAAGTAAGAGTTTACAAAACTTACATCAAGAAAATGAAAGATGGGGTGAACTGGTCCGGATTCACCCTACACTACCTCATGTTTAACACTTAAGGATAAGGATAGGCCTTCCATGTCATCATCCTTAGCTTTGTCTCCCTCCGAGCTATTTGGAAATATCATACATTCAGAACTCTCTGATATCACCAATGCAGAACCACATTGACTACCAGCTGGTGAATTTCTTGATGATTCCTCAGATAAAGCTGAAACTTCAAGGTTGGGAAAGTTAAGACGTGCAACAGAACCATACATTGCCTTAGCTGCTTCATCATAAGCCAGAGCAGCACTAATGGCAGTGGAAAAAGTACCCAACCAGAGCCTACTCCCTCTGTTTGGCTCCCGGATTTCAGCAACCCATTTTCCCCAAGTTCTTTGCCTAACTCCTCTGTAGTTACAGAGTGTGTTCTCAGGCCCTCCTTTACCTTTCATACACCCTTTCTTTGATCCTTTGGCAGGAACTTTTCTAACTGCTTTCTCAGCCTCATTGCTAGATTCAAGCCAAGCATTGTACTCTTTCCATCTCGCCAGTGTATAGGCCAGAGACTTGGATCCATCCCCTCTATTGTGGTCTTTCACTAACATCAGTATGCAAAGTTGCAATCCTCACCAGTAGAAATGCGAAAACAACACTTGAATCACACCCCTTGCATAATTAGAAACAAGACCAAAGGTTTATACATGTAATATACTATATTCATCTTAAAAGAGAACAACAGATAAACATGTTTAATTTTCATGCGTTATCAGTGTAAGGATTTTTACCCGTCTGTCAATCATAATCCCTCCTAGTTATGATTTTTTTAAATGGTAAGCACAAAAGTTAACAAATTGACCATACATGTTGAATTATTTGTGAATAACTTGCAGATGAATAGCACTACAAAAACCCTCTGCACTGACACCACATCATAATTAGATTCTAAATAGATAACTTGTTATTCTTGATATAGTGATTAACAAGGAATGCATATTTAAAACGCAAGCACAAACATTTCAAAGTCCTTTCCATATCAGTGATTAATCACCTCTTACATGTTTCACCCATACAATTGGCAATTATTAATTCTAGGTTCATCAGTCCTAAAATTTAAAGAAACATGACATTCACTGATAAAAAAGAAACCACGCATGTAATGCAAAGTTAGTGAATGCATGAAACAAGTGACATTGACTTACCCAGAAAACAAAAACTAACCTCTTTTATGAAAGATTGACCTCAGTGGTAACCAAAATCTTCCTAACCGGAATCAAAATAAGAGTCACCCTGATGACATTTGTGGGAGCAAATTCTGATTACGCGTTAAATTTAGAAACTTTAATATGACCAGTTGGTGTATGAAGAGGAAACAATTACAACAAGCGTCAATCATGGCATGATTCAATTGGGGCAAATCAAAGTAGGGTTCAGCTGTCGCCGACTTTGCTAAGATTCTACAGACGATGCAAACAAACATCAGAAACCTCTGTACAGCATCAACTATGTTTATATGAACAATTTCATTTTGATACAATTCAATTCCTAATATTCTTACACTACATTTTTTTTTTGCCTTTCTTTTTCTACAATTATATAACATTTACCATTTTTACATTTTTTTTATATTTTCTTTTGAGTGAAATAACATATAACACATCAATCTATTTTTTATATTGTTAAGAAAATATACACACTATTGATGACTTTAAAATATTTTTCATAAAATTCAGTAAAGGTATAGTATATGATTATTTTTATAATTAAGTAATAAGATTAAAAAAAACAAAACTTATAATAAAAAATATTAAAAGGAAAAATTAACCTTGTGTGTTCAAAATTCTTAAAATAATTCTCACATAAAAGTTTATTCAAATCTTAACTTTTGGCTGGACCATGTACTTCAAGAATTTCATTATCAACTATAAAAGCTTATATTCAGGTTTAATGTCTTAATAGGTCTCTATTTTTGTTTAAAATCTCAACTAAGACTCTTTTTTTTTTGCATCTCAATTGGGTCCTTATTTTTGTAAAATTGAATCAAATAGGACCTTTCCGTCAAATTGATCAGCGTTAAATAGGATATGTTGAGTGTGTAGTTTTTTGTTACGTGGCATTAAAAAGTGACTGAACTTTTTTTTTAATTTTAAATTAAAAAATAGAGTTTAAAGTGAGGGCAAAGTTGGGAAAGCCCCATTTAGGAATTTAGGTCTTTTTATTTATAATTGAAAAAAAGAAATTGATTAGGGATACAAACTTTTTTAAAGTAGAATTAATTAAATTCAATTACAGAAAGTCTCACTCTCTCTCCTACGACGAGAAATCTAACCCAAAACAATCCAGAAATGTTGTACCCATACGCAGAAACAATACGCAAATCACCAATTCAATTCGAATAAAAAATCAATTACACCAGAAATCCCTAATTTCCCAATTTCAGCAAACCCTAATCCCCAAAATCAGAAAACAACAGGAACCCTAAACTCAAACTCGATATTGCCGCTGCTTTCGCTAAATCATGGCGTCACTGCCCTTATGCCGCAAACCGCCAAGATCTCTTTCCTCCTGTAAGACGAAACAGAAACGGAAAGGAGGAGGAAGCCTCCCTTTTGCGCTGCGATCCAAAACGGAGAGGAGAAAGTAAACCTCCGCCATGCCCTGTTGAAGCTGACCCTTCTCTCCCTACGAGGAAGCGCTAAAGGATAGAGGAAAGAAGGGTTCTATTTGAATCGCGCCATCACTGCACCGTCGGGGACGCCCTCGTCGTGCACTTGCCGCCATCGCAGCGTCATAGATGATTCTCCAGGTCGGTTGCCTGCGAGATTGGGGAAGGTTTGCCCCTTGCGCGACCCACTGTGTTTCTTGGTTCAAAGCTGAACCCAAAGTCTAGACCCTTGTTTAGGATCTCTGTAAAGTGACCCTCCATTAACAAAAAAACAAGGAAATTTTAATTTTATTTAAACTTACCAAATCTGATGCAGAAACTAATTAGGAATAGAAATTAGCATTAAATAAAAAAATCATTTCATTAATTAATCTTAATTCTACTTTA